CCTAAACTAATATGTACAAGTAGGTAGTTGCGAATTTGAGCTGAAAGAGAAGAGCGTGCTTTGTCAGTCTGAGCCGATGGCTGATTGGCCAGACATCAACTAGACATGTAATTTTTGGTAGACATCATGTTGTGGCGAATCAGGTCTCCCCTGGCTAAAACATCAAAACCAGTCACGGGAGCAGCAGCATGATTTGTGGCTTGGAACGGCCCTCTCTCCCAATAATCGCGTCTTACTATTGAGACATGCATAGCCGTCCCGATACCGTGATTTTGCTAGAGACCAAAGGCCCCATTTCCCCCTCCCTGGGGTACCTATCCTCGCGTAGATGCCCTTCCCATACCCTGTATCATCGCCAACCGTTGATAAAAGAAAGCAAATTAAACGATCCAATGGGCGCTCACTGCCGTTGCTTTTGATATTCCAAAACGCTTAATTATGGTACCGTAATGGGTTCTTGACCCGACCGGATGCCGGATGCCCAGCCGCTTCCCCTTGACCCATGTGCCGCAGCTGAACATATCAAGTTTCTTTTTTGCTATAGTACGGGCGTTTTTCTGGGGAAGCTGAAGCCACTGCTGACCAGGTTTTTCTTTTCGGGGCGTCTATACACTCAGCTGCAACCTTGTCGGGCATCAGTACCAGCTATAACCGAGGAAAAGAAAATAATGAAATAAAGGCAAAAGAGAAAAGAATGACTCGAATAGGGTAACTTTCGCCGAGAGGGATCGTGCTTGTAGTATCAGGGGGTCGCAGCTGAATAGACTATGAAACTTGGCTACGTGATATATCAGCTTTTTTTTTTTTCCTTTTTTTGGCGTGGATTCTTGTATTAATCGATATTATAGCAGTGTAATTGTATGGTATATTTATTGCCCTGCAGTAAATAGATTTTATCTTATTTCATTTCTTGAAAATAGAAACAGACCGGCAAATCGATGCTGCTGGTTTGCTACTTGCCGCCTTCATGTTCTTTCCCGCAAAGCCTCAGCAGCTCACACTTCGTAGATTGACAAACAAACAGATGCGGAGGCGGATAACCAATCCAATTGTAGGTTGATTGAGTGGCCGACGCAAATACGGTTGTCCGAAAAGCGGGCCTCTCTCTACCTCTGGAATTGAAGCTTCAGCAAACACCAACACAAATGTCTGAAGCAGGCATTCAAGCCAACTCCACGGCTTGTCGATAAGGCGAGCCCTGGAACCCCCAGCTGCGCCAGGCACGTTACATCCTCACAATATCCGTTTCTACAAGTAATTTTTTCCCTTTCCCACCTTTGTCGGAGATATTCTCGTGCATCACTCAAAAAAAAAAAGAGAAAAAACCACCCCCTGTCGTGCCCTGGGCGTATGCCCGCAGGAGCAGCATCACCGTCGTCAATTGCGCCTCCAGTCCGGGGCAAATCGTGTTGCCTGCTAGCCGCTAAATGGCATTCGTACCTAGCCTCAATTGCTTACTGCAATGCCGGCACTTCATTTTAACCGCCATCAACCGAATCCCCCTCCCCTTTGCCGGAAGGAATAAATACTACCAGCAATACTTGTATACCTAATCAAGGAAGGAGGATGACTAGTATCGATAATTGACTAGTATACGGAGCAGAGAGCACGGTACAGACGGAAAAGAAGGCGTAAAGAAAACAAGCAAAACAAGCAACGGAGCGGTGAGCTGGTGTAATTGCAAACCGGCCTCTCTCGCGGCGCCGTTACGTCTCGTGTGGCTCTGGCTCAGCTTACCTGCATTATCATCCGCGGTCCAAAATCTCCTAGACACTTGATACCGTGGCTAGCAGTTTGCTAAGATAAAAACGGAGCCCGCGCGCTGGATCATTTGCGCATAATGCAGTAGGAGGAGGTCATAGCGGGGACTGGGAGGAGGAGAAAAAAACAACAAGGGAAGAAATAGGTAGTATCAACAAGCCCGCCAAATTTTGCGGATTGAACTTGCACCGCCCGCTGTCAGAGGGTTTAATTTTGGTGGTGGCAGGGTCGTTGCGTTTTGCATTTTGATTGATTTTTTGATTTAAATTGCAACATCGCGATCCGGGCGGTCTAATTTCCACGCGCCCGGATTCTCTCAGGAGCTAATCGTTGACGGGGAGCATCCGCGGGCCCGAATATTTGGAAATTATCTCGAGAGCCAACTAGGAAGTACTACGCGCAGCTCGTCTGTAGGGGCGACAGCCAGGGACGATGCCTCACCAACGACCCCCGGCCGTGATTTAATTTCAGTCTGGATCCAAGAGGCCTAGCAATAGTGCGGGCAATGGACATGAAGCCAAGCTCCGACTTACACGCGTGCTAATGCTCTGGACGCCGAGTGGCAGTCTCACTAGGTACTCGGTCCTTGTATGAGACGCCCTTACAAATTATGAGTACCAGTGATACCTATTACAGTAACCCCGTGGGGGAATGGCACCGAATCCAAGGAAGCCAGAAAATAAGAAGAGGAAAAGAAATACTGCTGCCTGCTCGACGTTCCGGGGCCGCAATAAGAAACAACAAGCTTGGGCTGTGGCGATGCCTGTTTTGGCTTCGTTCCATTGGACTGACTGCGTGGTTTTTTTTTTCTCTCCTCATCTTGTACACTCTCTACGAAGCCTCTGCGGCGTTGAATAGCGCAAACAGAGTAGAAAACAAAAACGAAGACAAAAAAGAAACCACCAATACGAGTATGCGGCCGTCCACTGCCAGCCATTGGCCAGAAAAGCCAGAAAGGATGCTGCGCTCGTGAGCGATCGTTGGCCTGGCCGTCCTGTTTCATTCATGGGAATCGCAGCAGCACCAGGCCGATGGACCAAGGAAAAGTCTTGAGGTCATGCGGCGGAGAGCTATGCGTTGGCAAGCCCAGCGTTGTTTCTGCTCAGGACGGGTGTCCTGGTGACCCAATGCCAGTGGCCACGGCGGGTCGGGAGGACCCTGCAGCGCATTTGGGTGGTGCTCACCCCCTGAGCAGCTCAATCGTCTCAACTGCTCAGTCGACGCCACCAGAGCCCCGGGACAGGTGACCCCGAACTGTCGCAGACCTCGCCTGTGGTGCGCTGGCGCCGAGGGACTGGGCGAACAGGCCCCAATGCCACCCTCTGAGCGTCCGGCGCAGCAGCCTGCGAGGCTCTCAACTGTTCTGTATCCGCGGACGGTGCCCCATGATCGCGAGCTGCAGCGAGACGGAGGCGACGAGCAGTCAGGCGTAACGGACGAGCCAGGCCGGAGCAGCCTTGGGCGGCGTTCAGGCGGCGTTCAGGCCAAGCACCAGCACCGGGCCGTCTCTGGGCGCAAGCAGCGAGGCGCCGGGTTTGCCTGCGCAACAACAGCGGACGAGGCCCTCTCTGGCGGCCCTTTGTGATCACCACGACAGAACAGACCGGCGATTCGCACAGGGCTGGGTCACCTGGACTGTGTGCTGGACCACTGGTATCAGAGCGCCGGGCCGGCTGCGGCCCCCAGCCAGGGCACGTCACATCCACGGCGGCTCAGAAGCTCAGTCACTCAGTCACTGCACGCTGTGCCTCAATTCGCTGAGGGGGGGACCCTGTGAATAACCCGACGGTCCAATTGCCTTTTGATAGACAGTCTCTGTTGACAAGTATAGCAGCAGCCAAATGGCAATGCGCAATTCGCGCGCCAGCGTGTGATGGATGGCATTGGGAGACACAGATCTGGTCTCGGTAGCTGAAAACCATGCCGCCATTCGCATTGGCGCAAGGCGAACGTGACATTGGCAGAAGCCGACTCCATCGTGAGAGGCGCGCGCGAATGCCGCCAACGCAGGTCGCCCACGGTTTCCCGAAGGCCGCTGTTTGCCCCAAAACTGTACGCATTCGGCATCCGTCAATTCGGAGAGAGCAAACGGACGATTCTCGAACCGTTTGCTTCGTCTCGAACGCATGGCTTGGACCGTTTGCGGGGGCGAGAAATGCCTGGCAGCGCGTGACGGGAATGGCAGTTCCAGGCCTGGACAGTCACTGCCTGTTTGGGCACAGCGCCACGAGTCTGGCCTGTGGTTAATCTCAAACAGGCAGTGGCTAGTCCGCTTGGGGCCAAACCACATTGTTCTGCCAAAACGGATCTTGGAAAAGGCACCGTCACATGATTGTGTCCGTCGCGACAGGGCCAAACATCGGTTCTGGGATGGCAGGGCTACGGAGCTGAGAGCAGTGCAAAAGATGCTGCCCGTGGGAGCTTAGCGGGCTTATAACACACTAATCCTCTGCGGGCTGCTTTTTTCTAATGGTGGGCGTGACTGATGCCTCTTTGGGCAAAGATTAGTATGACTGGTCGCCGCGCTAATCTCTCCGGGGAGTCGGCGGCACCTCTCCGAACCAGCGCACAGGTTAATCCCCCTTGGCCATTTCCTGCTGGGATGACAGGGCAGCGCTTTTTGCCCTGGAATCCTCGCGAAAAAGCACCGCTCAGGCCCCCACCGGCGACATTGTCGGTACTTGCCGCGCCAGCCAAAGCCACAGCGTCACGCCAGTAGCCCCAGGTAGCCACCCTTCGTCCCAACTCGCGCCTGCTGTTTCTCCTGGCGGCGCCTCCGTGCTCCTGCCGGGGTAAAGGGACACACGCATGTCTGGTACGTACCCGCCGCCAGGTCTCCTCGTACCTGTTGTACAGTACTCGCTATTTTGTATCTCGTACCCCTCCGTGCCCACGCCCCAGGCCGGAAAAGTGCACCCCCTCCCCGAGGGGGCGTGCGCCATCATGCCCTTTGCGCGAAGCCAGTGTCGTCGGCACACCGCACTCCCCATCCCACCTCTTCTTAAGCCTGTCGTGCCCAAGATACACCCTCCTATGGAGGCTACTCTTAATAACTAGATCTCGTTCCCCAGCTTCTCGACAACCTCTTGATTCTCCATCTCTCCGCATATCCATACAAAGCGGGCACGACGTCGACATACTTCAAGGCCCTCGTCTTCCCTTCATCAACAATACATCACCAGCATATACCCGCATCCGACGCCTCTCGAATCTCCTCGCCGCCCAACAAACCCTCTCCCCTCCTCGACGAAGTCTATTACGCATCCGGCTCTCCACCCCCGACTTGCCATTGATACAACGTCGATTGACTGGACTACACTTCCGGAGACGATTGGATTTGGTCATTGTCAGAGTCCAAACCTCATCACCGGGCAATTCCAACTACTTGACACCGCTGCGCATCCCTGCAACAACACCGTCCTCTCAACTATCGCGCTCTTTGCAGCTCGATTCCCTCGAGCCTCTTTTCCCGGCAGCGATGCCCTACCGCCTGGATACTCATGTGTTAACGGTGGATGCGAACGTCATCCACAAAGTCGATACCGGCAATCCCGCCAACTTGTATTCCATGTGGACAGGTAAGGAAAAATCGCCCCTAACAGCAGTATGACAAGAGGCAATCGGTCCGATGCTAACATGCGCTTTCCCAGTCTTCTCTCGCTGTGCAGATTCAGTTGAACAAGGCCGCAGATTAGAGAACCTGAGCTGGAGACTCTGGCAACGAGAACAGCTCATCGACTACGCTCACAGATCCTCAATAGCCCGGACGGCCCCCAAGGATATTCCTTCCGAGGCCCGACTCCCCGAGCTTCCTCAGCTCTCTGGCAGCGTCGACTCCCTCGCAGACGAGGACACTCCTGAATTCACTTCAGTCTCAGCTCCCCTGGAGATCCGCCCCAGGATACGACGGGTCGAGTCCTGTGCCAGCAGACGTGACCGCCACATCAGCTCCGACGACTTTGAGAAGATGGTCGTCTCCATTGTCAAGGACAAGGCTCCCCTTTCTGCCCCATCAAACACCACCTCCCCCATCATCGCTATCACCCGCTCTGGATCTACCACCACCGAATCACGCTCCTCTGAACAGCCCTCCGAGGTATCATTAGCATCTGTCGAGATGTCTTCCGCCGCCTCCCCCAAGCACCTTGCTGGCATCCCCGTCTTCAACGCACCCCCCATGGATGACAGCTTCCCCGAGCCAAGCTCGTCACCAGCTCACAAGCCCGTCCAGTCCAAGAGACAACCCCCCAAGTTCGCCCTGGGAGGATCCGTCTCTTCAAGCGACTGCGGACAGAGCGTCGATGCCCACAAGTCCATCATGACTTCCAAGAAGCCCATGTTCAAGCTTGGTGGTTCATCAGAGGAGGATAGCTCCCTGGCCAGCAGCCGCAACCTGCCATCTGCGTCCAAGCAGACCTCCTTCAGCAACAACATCACTCACTACCCCGATGCCGAGTCCGCTATTGACTCCGACACTGAGGGCGAGTACATTGATGAGAGTGCCATTGACGACGACGACGATTCCTCTGACTGGGAGGACTCCATCGACGAGAGCGGAAAGCCCAGCGTTGATGAGAAGTTCTTCCAGCGTGTCGAGTCCAAGGCCAACCTGGCTTCACGACCATCGCTCATCACTCTGATGATGGCCAATGACCGTGCCCAGAGCCTGGGCAACCACGCATCTCAGTCTACTTCGGCTCTCACCAGATCACGATCCGCCTTTGCTGGATCTTCCCTGGCTGTCTCCCCCAACGACTCTGACGAAAGCCCTCTTATGATGAAGGGCGCTCGCCAGACAGCGCTGAAGCCCATCAACGAGATTCCTCGATCCAGTGCTCAGCCCATCGTTGCTACCACCAACCATGTACATGCTCAGGCTGCTCTCTCTCCCCGAACCACCCGCCGCAACATGCTCGCTACTGAGCTTACCGAGTCTCTTCGACGCCACCTCCTCTGGGAGCGACAGCAGAAGTCTTCTACTGCCAACGCTGTTCTCAAGCGCAGACACACATCTCACGATGTTGCCAACCTGAAGCAGTACCCTGAGCGAGCGTGCTTGAAGCAGTGCGAGGATGTCAACGCTAGTAGCTGGAACCAGTACCTCACCAAGGAGGCCAACAACGGATACCACTCCAAGGGGTGGTAGGTGACAGATCAGCGACTTGATTTAGTTGGCAGGGCATATAATCCATCACACACACACAATGCCTTGACCGTGTACATCAATCATTATGGCGTTTGGGGGTTTTGATTCACATCATCATGGCAGCAAACTCTTGGCTGCACAGGCGAAACGGAACTACTTCATGAATGAAGCGACATACTTTTACATATATTCTCTTTCTCTTATTCTTTTCTTGTTATATCTTGGTCTCATAATGTCTAGTTGGGACAACAAAAAACTCATTCGCACTTTACGTGGCGTTGCTTTTCAATGATACCATGGTCTTGAGCTATTCGGATCGATATTGGATGAGCTCTGATGACGCTCATGGATTTGTTTCTACTTTTGCAGCCCTTGTCCATTGGGAAGCTGGGTTATGCATCAAGTTGTATTTTAGTGGGGGTTGGGAATATGCGTTTCCAGGGGCGACCTTGGGCGAGGAAAATTTTTTTCTTTCATCACTTTTCTTTTTCTCAGCGAAAGACGATTAGCGGGGACAACAGAATCCCATGCACGGATCTACAGAAGACTAAAAAAAAAAAAAGAAGGCAGCAAATGAGATGGAAAAAAGCTGGTGGAGGCCAAAAAAAGAGGAGCTCCCGTGGGTCTTTTTTCTCAAAAAGTGTGTTGTTTTCTACGAGACAAATGTCAAAAAAGGGTTTTACCATAGCAAAAGGGGTGTCTTATTAGATGGACACATGGCAAAAAACATTAATAAATTCGTGATAACAAAATCTCTCTCTCTCTTGCCCTCGTTTAAACCGTGCCGTGTGAAGGATCTGCCTGGGTTGTGACGTGCATGATGGCGGAATCAGTGTGGCATGGGGGTTTTTCTTTTGCTGATTAACATTGTTGCGATTAATTGACAGGTTGACTAACGATATCTGCAGTATCCGGTACTCGCTCTAGCGCAGATGGCTGCTACGTAATCAAGTACCGAGTACGCTGGGAACTCACGGCACTCTTTCTTCCACCTCTTCGGGTCTCCTCCGCCGGGCAGTGCAGCCAAACAGGAAATGCGACTTTTTCCTGCTCGGTTGGGTTTTTTCTCTTCTACTAACCAATTGAGTCGCTATCTAGCCAATCTACTGCATATGCACGTTTGATGCTTTTGGCATGAGAAAATTTTCACACAAGCAAGGGCCCTGCGGCATTGACTCATTACGTTCCAAAATGACCCCCTCCCCGTCTCCTCTCCTCTTCTCTATAAACCCATGGCGGTGAAGGTTCATTGAATCAATGACATGATTATGGAAACGGCTTGAGAGGGTAAAGAGAGGAAGGCTGGCCGGGCGCTATTCCGCCCAGCCCACCCCAACTCCACAGAAAAACCGAATGAGCCGGGAATTGGAAGTTGTTGACCCAGAAAAACCAAAACACACCGGCTCTTTTTTTTTTTCTGCCTCTCTGCGCTGAAGAGGGGGAGAGGGGGGCCGCAAGGCAGGATGAGAAAAAAAATCAAGGTAAAAAGAGGAGACGTCAATTGATGTGTTCCGGATGTTTACCGCTTTGTTGGTGATCGGCTATTACGGGGCTGTCGGGATCGGGAGGGCGGAATTAAAAGAGAAAGGAAAAAAAGCTGAAAGGTGAAACTAGAGAGCTTTTGAAAGAGCTTGGAGCTAAAAGGGGGGAAGCTAAGATGCTGGTGAGGCTGAAGATGGGCTGAAAGGGCGACGATGTGGAAAAAAAACAAGGGGGAGGGGGGTTGCGGCAGTTGGGGTTGAGAGCAAGTGTGGCTGGGCCAATGGGGAGGACTGGAGAGCATCTTTACTCGATTGTTGCTTCGGACGTGCGGGACACAAGTTCGTTATGAGAAGGATGGGCTGCGATGGAAAATGGATGGCAAAAACACGCATGTTGGGGGGGGGGGCTCACGGCAGTTGGTTGTGTGTGCGGAAGAGAGCTCAACGAAAGAGGAAATAAGGGAAAAAACAAAGCTCGTCAAGCCACGATGAGATCCGAGGATCCGTTTGAGCCATGATAGGTAATTGCACGTTTCTTGCCAGGGCGAAAAATAGATTGTGGCATGAAACTTCTTATTATTAATGTTGAATTAAGGGAAAAAAAAACATATAAACACTGGGTGGTTGTCTAAGAGCACATGGCAGTTGGTTTTTGTGGCTTGATGCTTTTGATGCTCTTTGCTGGCAGGTTACTTTGGCATAATCAATTTGCCGAAAGGTGTGGAAGGGTTTAAACATGGCTTTGGCGGTTGACTGGGGGGCATTGGGGATCGGTATATGGTTTGGAGTGCCGGCTGGATTAAAGCCGATAGGTGGTTCTAGCATCTTCGGGTTCTTGGCTTTTGGTGATTTGATGTCTTTGTCAATTTGCACTCGGAGGGGTGCAATAACATCGCTGTACGTCGCGACCTAGATGGAACAACGGCCCCGTTGACGGCGCCAATTGACGGCGCGCTGTAGTTTGACAGATGCCTAGAATGAAATCATATGCGGGTTTTTTCTTTTCCTTTGGGGGGAAAAGATGGAACATGTGAAGAGGCTAATACCGAATGGCTGAAAATGTCGTCAACGGAAGATTTAGGGGTCTAAGGGTCTGGCTACAGCCCGTAGTGCGATCGGAGAAGCAATGGACATGTACTCCGTATACGCGGCCCAATAAACATGTGCCTAAAATGAAAAGTAAAGGAACCCCCTCGGGCAAGTCTTTTAAAGTCGATAAAACGCCCTCGGGCAATAGTCCGCCGCTTAGTGTTTGCTGCTGCCTTGTAGCTTGGGCTTAGCTGCATTTTGTGGCATGATGATTTTACAGTTGAATACGGTAGATGAAAACACCAGATATTGGCGGAAAACAAGGGAGAAGACGTACAAACTCTAGCCGGGCAACAGGACTCGTACACATGATCCAATTGTACAAGGCCAGCTCACTGTAAGCTACATGTGCCGGAGGAAGAATGAAGTAGTAGAAAAGCTGCCAAAAACAGCCAGGCAAATAAGCAGCTTACAAACAAAAAAAAAACATGGAAATATGATGGGAATTTACGAGTACGACGAGAGAAAGAGCAGCCGAAATTGGGGCCCCGCTTCCCCGGCAAAATTACGTTCGGCTTTGCTTTTTTGAATGGCTCGGCTTGAGGCTCCCTCTTCCGGCGGGATGGTTGAACTTTGATGGAGACAGGCGAGACAGGCGAGATAGCTGCCAGATTTCGGTGGCTGCCAAGGAGATCTTCGGAGAATGAATATTGTTTTCTTTTATGTGCTTTTTATTTTATCTTCAATGTCTCACTTTTTTTTTTTTTTTTCAATTTTACTCTTGCCAAAAAGGAAACTTGCGGAATATCTTGCTCGATCCAGCTAGAGCAAGTGGCTTTGGAGCATTCTTTTGGAGTGCGGCTAGAAAATCCGGGGGAAAGAAAAGCCACAGCGAGCGTCCCCCCTCCAGTGACAGACAGAGGCGCTGGCTATTGACGGGGACTCTGGGGAAGACAGACAGCCAGCCAGCCAGCGTGACATTATTTTTTTCTTTTGGCTTGTTTGGTCTGGTGGACACTTGTCATGACGATGAACCGATCATTATTGCCGAAAACGAAGCAGTGAATGATTTTCTGGTGCATAGAGTGACGATGATGATGCGCTTGATATCGCGGATTTGGCGAGGACCATCTCTCGATCACTGCGGAGAGTGAAGTCATAGACCGCGAACATCATTCCCAAGAACCAGGAAAAAGAGAACAAGAACAATTTATTGTGAACATCAGCGGGGTGCCTCGTGATGCTCGATCTATGCTCCCCTCTCCGCCAGGCGATTGGCGAGTGCCGACAGGCGATGATCAAAATCACCTGCCAGTGGTATAAGGCTGCTTTCCCTTTGGCCCATATCATTTTCCTATTTTGCTAGAACAAAAATAAAAAGAAACATTAAAAACAACTGAGTTCGTGTGGCCCTCCCTTCGTAGGCTACCACCCACGTTTGTAGTTTAAACCAACGTGGTGGAAGACGATTCGCCTCGCCTCCTTAGGGGGGGCTGGCAAGCTTTCTGATCGTCGCTTGGAACGAGATCACGCTCCAGGTGCTCTGTAGATTAACTGCCACGACCTGTACAGGCCCTATATTGGTGCTGTTACAACGCCCCAAAGAAGGACCAAGCGATGGTTCCCGATTTAGCCCATCCCTAGTGTCGGTGGCATCATCTTTGACCCCCAAAGAGAACGATCGACGGGGCTTCGTGCCCACGTTTGTGGTCGACACCCTCTTTTCCTTTTTTTTTTTTGTGTGCGTCTTCTTTTTCTCAATTCACCCTCCACCAAGAACGAAAACTAGCGACGACGCTAGAAAACGAGCATCAATGCCGTTTACAGGCTTGTTTGATTTTATCCTTTTTATGTTGTCCGTCAGTCTAATATTTCCTTTTCCCCGTCTGCGGTGAAAAGCATCCAACGTTCAAATCCAGTAGTGTCTGTGTAGTCCTACGCTTCTTTAGTGGCTCTTTGCTCGACGGAAATTAGAGTCCAGAGACCAGGGTTCTGTTAGCTTTAGCCGTTCCACAGCTTGCGAGTTCCCCCGTGGGGAAATGATGCTCTTAGGACCCCACACTGTTCTTCCACTGCGATGTCCAGAGCCCAGCGGGTGTTTTAATGTCGTCAGCCTTGTCATACGGGCCTCGGCTTCCACTCCGCTCTCCACAGGCCCCCCCCCTTTCTTCCCCATATGAGAGAGAGCCTTGCCTTTGGCATGACAGGTTTGATGACTAGTTGTGTCAGATAATCACGAGTATACAGTTCCCAGCAGGAAAAACAAAGACAGACTACATGTATATGCACTGTCCTTACGTCAGTCAGACCGTACGCCCAATATAGGGGTCCATATGACTCGAGCGACGATCCGTCTCAAAAGGAAAGGAAAAAAAAGGGCGCTGACTAGCTTAAGCAGTAGGAACACGCTTCTTCTTCTTCCTACGGGTCCTTTTTCAATCCTCCAACGCAGGAGAGGGATAAACAATCAAGCACGGCAGGCAGTAGTTCGTCTGACCGGAAGCTAAGAAACGCCCCCGGAAGACTCCCGAGGGGGAAATGATGCATGTCGGCCCATTTCACCGAAAAAATGAGCGAAGGGGGAAATATATCCAGATTCATCTAAGCGGCTGCAGCGCCTTGTCCTTCTTTTTCCCCGTTACGTAGCAATATCTTGCGCAGATGGTTGCTTTGGGCAGCGTGCGGCGCTGGTGTTGGTTGGTTGATTTGACTCAAAGGCTTTATGCGCATGAATGGGTGAAGCGGTGAAGGCAAGACATGCTGCAAAGTGTTGAGTAGAGCGCAGTTTCACATTTTTTTTTTTATCTTATTTGCTAATTTTTTTAACCGCCATGCTCTCAGTAAGCTGCGCGTTAAAGGTCTAAGCCGAATGTTTGCGCAGCGTTTGTTACTGTGATTGCATCACCAGGCTGATATTAAAACGTCAAAATATGAGCAGAGTTGCGACACGATACGCCTCAACCTGTCAAAGGAATAATAACAGGCCTAACGGCGACTAACAACAGTGACAAGCATAGAAAACTCAAACTTTAATCAACTAAATGATTAAATAATTAAATGAATATTATTGTCATTTATTTCAAGCGACTCTGCCTCTCCTCCGATCGTTGCTGCGGACACTCCATCGGGGAAGCTCAACTCCAAAAGGGGGCCTGTCACGATGGCCGGCGATGATTTGCCTAAGTACTCGGACGAGCGCCACGCTAAACAGCCCAGCTGGACCGTACCTTGCGTTGCTGCAAATTGACTGTACATGCATGTTATGCGCAGACCAGTTCTAGTGCCCGTGGCTTGCTTGTCTGTCGCCGACGGAAGGGCTTTGCGTCAACGGTCCGAAGACACAAGGACAACCCCGGCCCCCCTACACGGAGATCAAAACGAGCCAACGAACGAAATGACTTTGAACTGACTAAGTGACCGACATTGGCGGCGAGGTTGTCAAGTCAGGCAGAAAAAAAAAAGGTTGCCTGGGAATCGGAATCGGGTGAGATTTACCCAAAACAAAAAAAAAAGGGAGGGGGGGAGTGTGGTTGAAACTGATCTCGATCTCTACGTAGGTTGGAGTTTTTTGCTGGGAAAGGGTGCTACGTCATCAAGGCTGATGCTTTTTTGGATGCTGCTCTGCGCGCTTACAAGCAATGAAGATTTCTTGTTTTTTTCTCTTTGCGTGTGCCCGCGGTCAAGGCCGGGTGACTAATGAAGATCAGACGGAAGGGAAATTGCAGTGAAAGAAACGGTAAAATCAGCGATAAAATAATATTGTCGTTTTATTTTTATTTTATTTATTTAACATTTTCAAGAGTCAGCATCTTGGGCTGATTCTTTGCTTGCCTCTTTTCGCCAGCAAACGGTGTAAAGTTAGTCGATGGAAAGTGCCGAGACTTTCATCCGTGTCTTTTCGCCTTGCTCGGAATGACACCTCAAACAGGCAATTTCACCCCAAAAGCTGAACAGCCTCCCACTGGAATTGAAAAAGCCACAGACATAATAAATACCGAGTAGAGGGCTAATAATACGCGGAGGGCCGCACCGCCACTGTTTTTTTCTTCTTCACAATGAATGTCAGCAGCAAACAGTGTGGCGCACCTCCCTTCGGCTCAGCGTGTTGCTTTCGGTCAAATCTGGGGTGTTTGTCGCGGATTTTACCCAAAACGACGAAGTGTGGCTGGTGAGAGGGAGGTGTCTTTGGCGTGTGGCACGTGTGTTTTATCTTTTTGGTCTGTGTAGGTAAGTTGTGTTGCTTTTTGCCTTTTTGCCTTGACGTTTACATGAGCATGTATTTTTTTGGTGCTGGCAAATTCGGAGCAAGGGAGCTTTGTGGCTGTTGTAATTGCCACGGGTAAAAGTACGCGATACCCGAGGGTAGATGCGTCTCGTGGCTTTCTTTTCCACGGATACGGAAAGGATGTAGGAATCAACCGAAATTTGAAAATCGGCAAACATGTACATAATGGAAACTGAATACAGTCTCCCCCGCCCTTTTCCCCTCGTACTCGACGCGGAGATAAGGGGACCAGGCCCTGCATACATGGGAAAACAAGCATTTGCGTTATCTTTTGCGCATGTTACATCGCGCAGGGATCGTTTGCAAAGATAGAGGGCTTTGCGACGTGTCTCAGTGGAAGACGAACCCTTCCTAGATTAAAAGTTGCCTGAATAGGAAAGCGAGGCGACCAGGGCCAGATGCTGCGTTGCATCCCCGGAGGAACGCCAGTCTTGGAGGCGGGACTTTTTTTCTTCTTCTTCTTTTCCTTCTACATATAAGTGACATGGTATCTTTGGGTACTTTTTGCGATCCCTCTCGGACAGCCACCGCATCTAGCACGTAGTAATCAATATATTCATTACTTCATCTTTTCCGTCCACCCAACAATCTGTCAAACAAGTCATTCTTTGCTCCACACGGACATGGCTGCTTTCTCTCCAACGCCGGCCGTAATGCGCACCAGTGACAGCACAAGCTGGAGTGGCTGGAATGGGGCGAAAGGGTTGCGTGGGGAAAAAGCGAAGAAAATAAAAAGAATAAAAAGAATAAATGCAGCCATAGAGAAATGAGATAAAAACAATAAAAAAGAAGAGGGTGTGGAGACCCCGCTTTTTTATTCTTCTAGAAGCCTTCTGCGACACGTGGGAGAACCGGAAAAAAAAAAGCCTCTGGGGAGTTATCTCGCGGTCTTTTTAGTGTGGGTGTGAGTGGGAGTTGTTTTTTTTTTTGGCCTGCGTGGTACAAGTATTCCGGCTCGGTGGCTTGAACCCGGAAACGAAAGACATGGGGAATATTGAAACCCAGGGTTGTTTCTTATCGGACCGCGTTGGCGTGTCATTTCCGTGAAACTTTAAAGGCTCTTCCTTTGGATCTTTACTCTTTGTGTCGTTGGCGGGTAGTCTAGAAGGAGTTGTCACGACTCGTAACAGAGCAGAAAACTTGGCACATTCCGCTTCTGGAGAATGGGTTTTTTATTTGGCTGCCTGCTGCTAGTTTCGAGGGTTTTTAGGGGGTGGCTGTTGGGGAATGCGATGGTGCTGCATGGGGTAAAATAATAAAATAAATTTTTTTTTTAAAGAATAGAAGAGGTGGTTCTTGAATCATTATTGCCGCAATTCTATTGTTTCAGCCTTTATCTATTCGCATGCAATAAACCTCAAGTTCAGCGATAACTTCCAAAAGTGCCTTTAGCGCCGTGCTGGCAAATGACGAGTTCGCCATGACAACTTCTTTCGGTATCTCAAAACCGTACACGGCTTTCACATCCTATTTCGCTGCTAGTAGTTCTATTACCCGCCACACGTGGCACTCGTAGATTCTACGGCCTCTCGGTGTGTATTCCTAAAACAAGACTACTTTGAATAATTAAGCCGAAAACAAAGTACACCCGGTGGCGGCAACACGAACGTGGCTCATTCAATCTTGCGGAATTCCGAACAGCTGGGTTATTCTTCCCCTGTCTGGAAATGCGAGTGTAATCTCTTCTCTCTCTTCTTCCCCGGATAGCGTGGAAAGGCGGGTCAGGCGGAGAATGGCTGATTAAGAAGAATAAAAAGCTACTCGCTGTGGCACCGGCTGTCAGAAGTGGAAATGTGAATAAAAAAAACGTGTGTAAGTCGAGAGACTTTCAGCCACGAAGTGCGTTTGACAAACATGTACCTGTACTGAGCTGGCAGTACGGAGATTAAGTTTATTCCCATTTGGCCAAGATCAGATTCCCAACCAGGCGTTTCCGGGGGCCAAAAACTCGTGGAAGCCATCATCTGCGATTTGGCCTTGCGGATGATTAAGCGAGCATCCAGACATGCAGCCTCTTTTTGCGAGATGACACAGGGCAGATGAGTATACGGTCTGACTTCAGAATATGGTGCAGGTTATTGCGCGATTGGCGTCGAATAAGCAATGATTTATAAGATTATTGTTCATTATGACAGAGCAAGAAATTGCGAGATGCACCCTCTACTCTTTCTTCCATGATGTCAATTTGAAAGAAAATTCAAGATGATGGCAGTCTGTGTTTGATATCATCAATCAATCAATCAATGCATCATAGCGACCGCACAGATGGAGTTTGCGCTATGCCAGTTTGGACGCCGTTTCCAGCACGTGACCCCAGCCTGATCTGCTGATGCTGGTCGTAGAGTCATCAATTAGCTGAAATCACGGATATAACCTGCACGCTCTTACAAGGCCGCGAAAATCGACGTAATGCAGCCTCGTCTCGGAGGCAAAGTCTTGAAGGTTTACTCTACAAAGTCGCTCTCGTCTTACCAACAAAGGAATATGCAGCACGGCCACGTCGTAGGACGCGTGATCATTTTGCAAGCGAGGCGTAACGCCTTGTAGCTGAGCAACCAACAACTGCCGCAACAGCGCCGTGGAACGAGCGGGAAGCTTATTACTACGTGAAGGGCGCTGCGAATGAGGGCAAATATAATAATAATGCACCCGCCGGCCTCAATTTGCGTGAAATGCGGCCTTTGACGGCATTATAACATGCCGACTTCCCCTCATCGCGGCCGGTCGCTGTGGCGCAAATCATGGCCAAGTTGTGAATGGGCATTTCGCCGCGAATAGAAACCATCTTGCTTGACGACCCAAACGCCACTGCTGCGAAAAGAAACGAGGCTCGAACAACTTTGCCCGCTGCTACGTTGCGGCCTCTTGTGTGTACTTGGTCGAGTCAGAAGAGGTATAACGAATGAATCAAAGCGTTTGAAGTGAACCGTTTTACACCGTAGAGCTTTAAGCCCGTCATCAACAGTAGCCGACCGGTGGATTATCACGAGCATATAGGTGTGTACAGCATCAATAAGCACTCGGCTGGAAATGCCTGCTGTCATTCAGGGGAAACGGAAAAATAGCTTCACTTCACGGCATGGCCCTCGGCGCGGTGCATGCATTAGCATGTGCTCATCACTCTATCGGCTCCATTTCGCAGGTACAAGTAAGCGACAGCTGGATGCTACACATCACTTGTTATACGAGTATCGCCGCGTTGATTAACTACCAGCCCTATGGCGACATGGATATAGATTGCATGTAGATTTACATTTGTACATGCCAGAGCCAACAAAGGATCCCAGCGCATGCCGTGTCACTTGATCGCATTGTACTGCCCATCGGCGATACTGGCTGCGCTCGACGACCAGGCCCTGAATATGCTTCGTCGCTGACGCATTCATTATCCAAAACACAGACATCCCCAGAGCCTTTTTGACGCGGGCAGAAGCTTGTTTGCGGGTGGTGCTACGAAAAGCGGATAAGTGCGGGGATGGCCGCGCAGGAAATAACGATAAACACAACTGGAATTCTCAAAGTAAAATAGAGTAAACGGTAAGCAAGGGCCCTCCCTCAAAGCAAAGCAGAAATAAATATTTAAATCAAAGGGCGATAAAATAAAATAAAAATAAAGGGATTAAATGCAAACGGCTCTAAAAGAAGCAGCCATCTTTAGTTCCCAGCCAATGCCCGTCTTGAACATATCCTGCTAACTCGATTATCCTCCAGTAAGAAAAACCGGCGACGAAAATTCGCCCTCTCATGTGATTGCTATTTTATCGCCCCTCCCCTCCAACAGCCAGCCGCAAACACGCCGCAAGGGGAAAAAGGCGAGGGGAAGGATGGTGGCTCAGCCCTTTTTCTGAACAAAGTGAGCTGTGAGCTGTTTGCTCTCTGTTTTCGTTTTTCTTGTGTGATTCATATTATGAAATTGATATGCTATGGCTCATAAATATTGCAGCTCACCTGACGCTGCTGCTCAAGGGAGGGAGAAAAGCATAAAGGCGGAAAAGAGAGAGCCTTTGCTATCCGCTCTTCAGCTGCTGACTAGCCATTGCTGCTGTTCACGAGTCCTAGAAAACGAAATAATCCTCCTCGCTTGTCTCTTGTCTCTGCTGACTGTTGCGGCTGCAGCGGCTCTCTTCGGGCAACGCGAGAGGAGAAGCGACGAGTGCTGTGAGTCCTTGCGGTGCCGCAGTGGCAAAACCACATGGCCCATTGTATTTTTTTTTGGCCCAATTCAGAGCCGAGCGCGAGAGCAAGAAAGGGCCGGCATTAGCAAACAGCAGCAAAATGTCACCAGGTGGTGTCTTGTCGCTGTCGTTGACATTCCTTTCGGGCCTACGTTTGTTTAGAGGGCGGCATCTTGCCGCTGTGTCATTCTCTCTCTTTTTTTCGCCCATTTTGGTAAACGGGATAGAAAAAAACATTGACAAATATGCATTGTACCACTTTACTTGATTCACGTGCTTTCACCATTAATTTTCTTTGCAGTCTGGGCTGCCTCTCGCTTGTCGTATCGTGAACATGACATCATGGTGTTTTTTTGTTATTGTTCTTCCCCGCCCTGCGCCCAGACACTTTGCTTACTCTGTCAGTTTTTGTGTTCCTGGGCAAAATAAGACAATTTAATTCTAGTGATTACTTCATCGAGAAAAACGGAAACGGTAGGTTAAAGTGAGTAAATAAGCTCGATAAAAAAAAACATTTAATTCCGTTGAAAGCAGAATAAATTACTGTCAGCCGCTTGATAGTATTACTGCCCAGCCACCAACCACCACAACACTACGCGGGCAGCAGAGTTTTTTGCCAGCATGGCGTCTGGACTTTGCTGTGGCAATGCACTGTTTAGGCAACTGGTCTCTGTGAAAAGAGGTTTGCCCGTGGCTGTGACATACAGTACGGACCGTAAATATCTTCACTGGACCGTGATACGCGTTGTTTTCCATCTCGAGATTCTGCTGCAAAGACTCACCATCTTCCGCCACTATCGGCACCATCCAAGCGTGGATTGACTTGACATCAGGCAACCCCGGCACTGGACCTGCATAAGACGTCCACAAATATCATCACAAATCAAATTCGTCACTGATCAATTGCAAGAACCACCCCTCTGATGAACGGCTCCAGTTTCAGGGCCATATAGGTTCCAATTCCCAAGCCACGCTGCGCCCAGTCCTCGTATTCTGCCCTCCATCCCATCAGGCTATGCAGAGCTATCAACTACCGATCGTTTCAAGGCTCCTCTTGCCGCCTTCCGCAGCGAAGCCGTTGAAAGGCTGTTTTTGCTCGTGCCTCAGCAAGCTAAAGGAAACTTGTCTAGCCAATCAGAAGCCAATTGAACCATTTCTTCAACGAAAGCAGCATGTGAAGAGAGGAGAAGAAACATCAACATGAACCAGCACGTGGTTGTGAATTTCAAGAGGCACCCAATGGCTATATTGATATATGTGGCGTCGCAGCATTAGGCTTTTCGGTAGTCGAAGCTACCTGAACCTGACGAGCGGAGTGCCGGAAAGGTTGTGGTTCGGCGAGGAATTTCGTATGAGATGTGATACCCTGAAGTGAAAAAAAAGACCAGACCAGGCACCATTCGAGATTGCGGCTCTTTTTGCGCCCGATCGAATGATTCAATCGTGCTGGAAATCGGATCAGATGCATTTTTAAGCGATCCCAACCATGTAAGCCAAAACTGCCTTGGCGCTGCGATGGCGCGAGCTGGAGCTACTCGTCCAATTGGTGAAGCCCGATTCTTTACCACCACCATTGGCTTTGAAGCTTTTTCTTTTGCATGTGCTTGCTGCTGTTGCTTGCTGCTGTTGCTATTTTTAAATTTCAGCTACTATTATCTTGCTATAAATTTTTTTGCCATTGTTCTTTAAGCATACGAGGCCGGCTGTGCCGATAGCTAGGAAAGATTTGTTTTGTGGAAAACGAAATGGAGTAATTCTACCTGGTTGGGGCTCCCTGTTGCATATGCAGCTTGACGCTGGATGACGAGATACCTGAACAACACCGAGAACCGCCGAGGCAATCGCTGAGAAGATGCCGAGCGGGACACTGCTGGCTAAGATGGGTATTCCGATGATACCGAAAACATCCTTGGCTAGAGTTCTTTGTTTGGTGTTTTCCGGTTACGGAGTTCTTTTTCGACCTTGCTTTTTTCGTCTGCCGCGATTCCGGTTGATGGGAGGATTTCAGTTTTAGAACCGAGCGATTAGGATTGAGATGTGTTTTTCATATGAATGAAAAAAGAGAGCAAATGGAATTACAGAAAGGTGTGTCTATTCATTGAACTTTTGGAGACATCTTCCATCACGAGATCCTGTAAAAGGGAGGTGCACGGGGCTTAGATCTGATGGCCGATAGCAGGTGTTCCCTGGATGATTGAAGGAATCAAATGGAAGGCAATTGAGAATTGAGAGAAATAGAAGACATTTTTTAAAATAAAAGAAGAAAAACGAATAAATTAAAAAAGAAAAAGAAAAAAAGAAAACGAAAATAGATAAAATAAAATAAAAATACACATAGCAAGTATACTGGCATATTTGAATACATATTTGATATCACCCCTGCTAGTAACAAAAGCTGTAGCGTTATTTTACTCATCATACAGATCATCGTGGCAATAAAGAATACCAACTTGGAGCAGTTTCGATCTTTGGATTATATGAAATGCTTCGTAGTGGACAAGTAGTGTGATGTTTCATCATAGTCGGAGCAGAGAGCCTGTACCAGTATTTCCCAAAGAACACGCGGATAACTCGGCCGTCGAATGAAACACATCACTTGTTCATCATTGTATACGATAGTGCCAAAGTATTGATGCATATCACAATATTGTTTGCATCTTGAAGCCGTTTCAAACGGTGATGCGAGGTCTATTGCTTTAAGTCGACTTGGAATAGTACAATCGCTACCAAGTACAGCCTACGAATGAACCATCAAATTCAGTACTGCAAAGCATCATGTTATTATACTGTACACATCCAATACAGAGTTGCTCAGGTTATTTGAATGTGATATTCATGCAAAAAGCTTCCATCAAATAACTACAGCTAATACATCTGATGCTACAATTCTTGGTACAGGCATAATTTGGGCTCAACTCTACATCATGCATCTCCAACTGCCATTCCCTGATGATTTACCAGAACCGATCTCTGAAAATACTTTGCTCCCGCTACTTCTAGCAACGGCGTTTCCACTGTAATTGCATTCGAGCTGTGTGCATCCAAGAGCTTTTGCTCCGGCTCGGCTACACAAGGTCGAGCTACTCGTATAAACGCCTCCGTCACCGCACGCCGATCGTCTCTAGTGGAACGACACTTTTTGACATGGATGAGGGCCTCATCGAGCCTGAACAGGGCATCACGATGGTCGTTGTTTTCCATGGGATGTACCACAGCCCGCATCGCCGTTGTCTTCATCGCCAGCTTGATGCTCTCCTTGCAAGCCCGGCTGCCGCGCCACCACTGGACTTCCGACGTAAACTTGGCAAGAATAGACTTCAAAGCGTTGTAACTGGCAGAGCCGGTGTATGCAAAAACCAAGTTGGAAAAGTTGTACTCGCTGTACAAGAGCTCTCCTTTGCCGTTCTCCCTTGCCGCTACCTCGCATACGGTGGCGGCCCCTTTCAAGTCGCCCTTTGCCGACAGTATTTGCGCAGCCTTGTTGTACACGCTGTCATGTATACGAGTCCCTTGACGAAGAGCCTGCTTGATAACATCTCCAACATCATCGCCATGTTCAAGCCTCGACAACAGCAGCGGAGTCAGGGCTTCCGTGACGTCGTAGCCTCGGCTACGAGCTTCGTCAATGAGCGACGCGGCCTCATCGACACTCCCGCTTTGCTTCTTGAGGTGTCCCAAGACTGCCAAACGAAGGCAGCGGATTGATGGATGAAGCCCGCTTAGTAGCAAGCGGCTGTACGCCTCACAAACGCGCTCCCACTCGTTCTGGGCTGATAGCCAGTCCATGCAGTCGAAAGCATCCGCCTCAGATACCCAGTTGTGCGATTCCAGCGAGGCGGGTGGCACATGACTTGATCTTTTCCCGCTGGATTTACTTGGCAGAAAATCCGAAAGAGTTGGTGCTAGCCCTTGGAGATTTTGATGCAAACTTGTAATGGTCTTGTCAGAAAAGCTCCAATATTTGCGACATCCAGAGTAGAAGCGGCGTATGAATACATCATCCATCTGAAATCCAGCCTCGGAGCAAAATTGAAGCCATGAAAACATGGAATCGAGGTCATGGCGGCTTGCATATCGGTCCAAGACAAGGTTAACCCATCTGGACTTTAGAGTTATGTTATAGTTGCGCACAAATCTCCTGAGCAAGGTCTCCAGGCCTTCCGAAGAGCAAGTTTGCACAAAGACGTCAATGATTTTGCTAATTGTGTATCGCAAATCGTTTGGCTTTGTGCTGTTAGCACTCTCGAGCGCCTCTATGCCGTCACGAACTGACTCCCAGTGCCCAAGAGCAGCCTCTCGCACAATCAGCCTACTTTGAAGCTTGACATCTGCCTTTGTCGCATCTGGATCCAATGTAAAGAGGTATTTCATTTCCTCTTGGGCAAAGGCATCATCTCCCGCTTTGAGAGCTTTCGAAACCATGAGTCGGCGTATTTTATACTCAACATTGGAGGGTACTGCAATTGCGTTGTATAAGCCGGCGCTCTGCAGAAGGCGATAGATTTGCTTGATGTCTTTAAAGCTCTCCATAGCCTCGTCCAAACCAGAAAGCAGTCGATAAATCGTCATACCGTGCATCCAGAATCGTTTTTGTTTCTGCTCTGAGAGAAACTCAAGAAGCTGTTCCAACCCTCTCTTATCCTTCTTCTCCCACAGCCATTTAGCTACAGGTGATAGAACCTGGATGGGATCTTTGAATATTGGGAGCAAGGTGGCGAGCATAGTTGTCATTTTAGTAGAATCATATTCGATTGTAATTCTAAGCAGTCGTAATCCATGGGATTTGAAATGGGTATTCCACCTGGGGGCTATCGGTCGAGATGCCATTGAAGCTTGTAGCTGATCAACAGCCGAATCTAGCAATTCGGAGACCAAGGCCTGATTTGACTGGTGCCGCTCTGAATCCTGTAGCATTTGCTCAAGCTTTGTAATCTGATCGACGTAGGTTTGAGAATTTTTGTCTGGCGTTGATATATTGGCTAGAGATGGGCGGGCCTGAGCTGAGGAGTCGAACTGTGAAGGTTCATGTAAATAAAATGAGCCATCCTGTGTTTTCGAGCGCCTTGGAATTGGCTCATAATCCCTATGCAGAGAATCCCTATGCAGAGAGACCTTGACCCGTTTATCCAAGCCCGTTTCAAGTCTTTGCGTATCCATCTCGTTAGAACGAAGTGGTAGAGCGGAAATCGTAGGAGCCTTCAAAGGCTTGAATGAGATATCCGACGGCCGGATATCGGTCAATGGGAGTATAAACTTGGTCGCCTCCAATCCGAAATTTGACATGTGCGTCTCTTGGGCAGCCTTTTGCTCCTTGTCGCCAGACGCAGCTCTGCTAGTGTGCTCATGGTGCTCGAATGAGTGTCGGTGGATGCTGGCATCTCCATTAAAGACGAGAGAGTTGGAAGAGCTGCCCCGACGTCGTCTTCGATAGGGATTTTTGGATCGCGAAGCAGACGGGAGCGATAAGACCTCGTCGCCAAGATCTGCGAGCCTATCTTCCCAGCTTTCGCTCAGCGCAACGGCGCCCCTGTTGCTTTTGACGGTGTGCAGCTTCCGCGCATTATCAAGGGCCGAGCGAGCAATCTTGAGTCGACGGCGGCGCTCCTCGGCGAGCAAAGCAACCGAGCATGATGTTGTGAAAAGGACGCCCCGGAGAGCATTAAGAGCGGCCTTGGAGGGCACGGGAGGAGTGGAAGCCATGTCGACAGCCCATGTCTGCCGCTATACTGCCTATGTGTCGCGGATTGGGCAATTCTGGCGCATCCAGGAAGCGTGGTTTGCGATTTGATCTCGTCGGAAGCTATCGTAAGATTTCTACCATGGCATGATGGGTGCAAATATCTCGGCAATAGTCTGGAAGATTGGTGGTTAGTGGGGTACGTACCGCGCCCCGCCAAGCATGGTGCCGACAGGTACGTACCTCCATCTGGAAAAGCAACTGAAGGAGGTACAGATGGCTCTTGTTGTAAATTTAAATTCAATTGAGTGTAATTTGATGAATTCAACGTAAAAAACTGATGCTACTTTTGTTGTTATTCCATGCCAATTAGTCGTTTTGTTGTTTATGCCAACTAAATCTCGCCTCTGGAGCTTGTTTCGTTGGTTGCAGCATAGCTTCGTCTTGCAGAAGCATTTCGAGCAAGTTGCCTTCTAGGTCTGGTCGATTTCTACTCCAAATTCTTCTAGCATCTCCTAGCTCCGTCACCCCATCCATCAGGAAGAAACTGCCTCTGCTTTATTTGTAGATCGTTCGATATAGCATTGACAGCCATCAGATTACATGCTTACGTAGATCGACTAGCTTCACTGCGAACAAGCTAGAGTAGTTGAGTAGGCATAAACTTGACTACAAGGTCATGGACTAGTTGACGAATCGCAAACAACCTGCAATTAATTTGTCTTATCTGACCCTTCCGCGCAATACGTATTTACGCAATGGTTTGCTCAGCGGCGGACTTTGCCCCCTCAATGGTTCGTCGAGTGGCCAGACGGCAGTGCTAACGCCGGACGATTTGCTGTAATAGCCTCAGTGGGCATCTTGCCATGCCAACCCCGCTTCTGGATCGAGGCAACCTATTCGTACATCTTTTGCGCGATCTGGCGGATATGCTACGGCTCTAGCGGTGCTTCCACAACTCGTGTTCCCATCCAAGACGCAATTCGGACTTTAGAGCGAGGGGTCTAGGAGAAAAGAGCTGCAGCAATGGACATAACAGCACTCTTCGGCCGAGCGCCGTACCGGGTGCATTTAGACGTGCAGCTCTGGCTTTGGCAGGGTTGCGTCGAGATTGAGACAGGGCGCGGTGCTCGATACAGGTCTATGGGCTCTGCTGCGTGCTTCTGATTGGCAACTTGTCGCCTACGCGGTACGAGTGAGCGCAATTGGCACCCGCATCAATGACCCCTTCCATCACACACACTCTTGCTGCAGCTACAGACCCAAAGGGCTCCAGTTGCTATTGCCAATCCCCATCCACCACAGAATCGGCCATGGCTGCGACAAGGCCAGATGTCCGGTCAAAGCGCCGTGCCTCGGATGGGGTTGGCGAGCTGAAAGCTGCTGCATTGCCATCTTGAGCTGCTGCGCCTATAAAGCGCCACCGCTCCCCGCCAACGTGCTCTCGCCGCCATCATAGTCCTCTACTCGCCTTTCTCTGCAGCAACAACAACACATACATCCCTCTGTAAAAAGGGAACAAAAAGCAAACAGCAGTAGCACATCATATAGTATTCGATAAACCCGCTATTGCCTCGCCAACATGAGCATCTTCGGCCCGCCCCCAGTTCCCAAGAGCCCACTCAACCGCTACCGGCTATTATCGCCAACAGCTTCCGTGAGAGTCAGCCCTCTCTGCTTGGGCGCCATGAACTTTGGCTCAGCATGGTGGGTTTTGAAATTGGTGCTCAAACTGAAAATAAATGCCATGTTGCTGAACCAGACCACAGGAAGGACTTCATGGGAGAGTGCGACAAGGCGGCTTCAGAGTCCATTTTGGATTTTTTCTATGAACAGGTGAGTACCAAAGCTTCTGTATAAGGATACCAGGTCCTTTTTATTCATCATAGCTGTAAATATTTGACAGCAGTGTGCTAACATCTTTCACAGGGAGGTTAGTTAATCATGCCAAGAGGATTCGTGGACACATTCGGCGCGCGGATCACTAACATCATCATACAGGCAACTTCATTGATACGTCAAACAATTATCAGTACGAGGAGTCTGAGACAATCATTGGCGACTGGATGAAGAAGCGTGGAAACCGTCATGAGATGGGTATGCTGCATTATAGCCTGAGCAATCTCTTTACTTGATTTCATCTAACGTACTACCTCTTCAGTCATCGCTACCAAGTTCACCACCTGTTATAAACTGGGGCCCAACCGCCCCCATATCGCTGCCAACTACACCGGAAATGGAACCAAAAGTCTCAACGCATCTGTTGAAGCCAGTTTGAAGAAGCTGCAAACCGACTACATCGACTTGGTGAGTTATCCTGCCCAACTACCTTTAACTCTGCATTCAATACGCTAATACATGACAGCTATACGTGCACTGGTGGGACTATGCCACTTCTATCCCCGAGTTGATGCAATCTTTGAACAGCCTCGTTGTGGCTGGAAAAGTCTTGTATCTAGGAATCAGCGATGCCCCCGCCTGGGTAGTGAGGTGCGTATAGAATCAAGTTATTCATATTTTAAATCGCATATTGCAGCTCTGTTTACTGATACTCCAAATGCAGCAAGGCAAATGAGTACGCCCGAAACCACGGCTTCCGTCAGTTTTCCGTTTACCAAGGACGTTGGTCCGCAGCTTCTCGTGATTTTGAGCGCGACATCATTCCCATGTGCAGAGACGAGGGAATGGCTCTCGCCCCCTGGGGAGCGCTGGGTGGGGGCAAGTTCAAGACCGAGGAGCAGCGTAAAGCAGACGTGGGACGCAAGGTCGAGGCCAGCGAGATTGATATTGAAGTCAGCAAGGTGCTTGAGAAGATTGCTGCTCGTAAAAACACGGTGATTACGAGCGTTGCACTGGCCTATGTTGTTCAAAAGACCCCCTACGTATTCCCCATTATTGGTGGAAGGACAGTGGATCATCTCAAGAATAACATTGAGGCTCTCACACTGCAGCTTACAGAGGAGGACATTGAAGAAATCGAGGGCGCATATCCCTTTGATCTCGGGTTCCCCAACAACATGCTCTGGGGCAAGAAATTCAACGGATCTCAGCAGAAGATCTGGCTGCTCGAATCTGCCGCTCACTTTGAATATGTCCCTGAGCCCAAGGTATGCCAGCCCTCATCTAATCCTGTTACATTGTTGTTGGCTAACGTTTATCCTTGTTTCAGCCCATTACGCCGTCCAAGGTTGGAGAGTAGAGCGTCCGCTTCAAGACGTCGTGCTGGAAATGGCTGCCAGGGCGCCAGAACCATCAATATGGTCATCATGAACATGCAATGAACCAGCAATATGGTCATCATGAACATGGGATGCATGCGGGTCCTGGCTGGTGAGCTTCAAAAGAGAAATGAGCTGCAAAAGAAGAAAATCAAGAGAAAATCTGAGGAGCTTAGTTGCTGTAGCTGCTATTGGTAAGAGAGAGGGAGCTGAGAAACGCAACCCTAGGTACCCTGAGTATCATTTTTAAGCGCATCCAAGTTAGGAAGAATCTTAGGATATGAATTCATTGCTTCATTTTGCTGCTTCAAATTCTGGTAGCATACATCAAAGATACCTTAGTAGCAGTACCATGCAGCATGTGATGTGTACTTTGTATGTCTCTTCTGCGTGCGTACCCCTGCGCTCAAATTGGTAGAAACAGGCACCATTAATTCTTCGTCCTGAATATACATTTCAGCAGCGGCGTAAAAGCTGGGTTCGCCTATGGCCTTGTGAGAATTCTTGGGCAGATTTCTTTTCTCGTCTCCTGAGCGAGGCATATATAAAGGGTAAATTGATTCACATTAATCGACGCGAGATACCATCATATGGGGCAAGGGATTGGGCGCGGAGCAGCGATATTTAGGCATTGAGACTAATGACAGTTGTACAAAATATGCTCCAAATATTCAATGGGTGAAGGGAATCTCGCAATCTAGAAACCCTCATTGTCCTTCGATTCTCTCTTCCTCCAAGGAATCTCTAATCAAGAAAGCCATGTCACAGCGACCAGCCGCTCTATACAACGTGTGTGATAGAGCAAGATTTCATTTTCCGAGGGGTGAGCAAAGTGGAAAGTATCGTTTGCTGTAGACGAAATCAGAGCCACCTCAGCCGTGGAGTTTAGAGTTTCGTTACGTGGAGGCTTTGATGCTGGGGATTTGATTATAAGATAGAGAAGAAAGTCCACTAGATCGCACATATACAACGATTCAAGGTACTATGGCTGGGCGAGCCAAGTTAACAAAATTGTAACCATTTTGTTGTATTAATGGGTATCTACATACCTACTTTAGTCGGTGTATATCAACTGTCACATGGCTGTTATCATAATACAAATATCCTATATCCTACCCGAACGCCGAATTGGATTGGGTTTTCAGTTGACGCATCCCGTCAACATTATTTAGCTCCCTTGCCCTTTGCCTCGTTGTCGCCCAGTTCTCTGATGAAGACTGAAGTCTGTCCGGCACCGTTGTAGTCGTTTTGGCCAGTCTCAAATCCCGGGCATACACCAACGGCCAGATACTTCCCATCGTTTGAAAAAGCCAAAGCTGCGACATTGTTGGGGAACTTTTGATACTGTTTTAACCTCCTCTTGGCCTCGGCATCCCATAGGGCTACTGTGCCATCGCCGCCTCCCGAGGCAAACGTTCCGTGGGCAGAGTGGAACGCGAGCGCATTGACTGGGTACACGATATCTCCATCGCCATCGGGAGCCGCCTGTCTGTGGCATTTGAATGCGTATTTCCTGGCTTGTGACTCGGCTGTATCCTCAAACCACTCGACCGCAACACGGCCTTCAATGCTGCTGGTAGCGTAACCGGCGTCGTTGGGCATGCAGGATACGGCACGAGTGAGGTATCGGAGGGACGACTCGCGTTGTTGCCAGGGTTTGAGCTCAGTGCCGCCGGTTTGGAATAGCTCGACGATTGCCTTGACATCGTAGATGTTGATGATACGACCTGTCATGGCGACAACAATCTTGCTGGGGCTGCCGGCAACGGCCTGGGGTTTGCCCGGGAGAGCAATGGTGATGGGGGTGCTTGAAGGATCGTTGAGGTTGTGCAGGTTGAGAGTGCTGTCCCAAGACGCGGAGACGAGGATGCCGTAAGATTTGCTGTATACGACGCGACGGACGGGCGCAGTGTGCTTGCTGAGCGCGGTCAATTCTCCAGTTTCAAGATTGAGGCTGTGATTCATAGTCAGCGATGGCTGTAATGTTGGTCATCGTGCGGCTGGAGTAGGAAATACCGATTGACCGTCCAGTCCATGCCTGCGGTGAAAGCCTCATTATCGTCGGCGCCGAAGCAAACATCCAGAACAGGAGCGCGATGCTCATATGTGGTTACGAGGCTTGACGCCTCCGGGCCATTTGTAAGGTCATAATGGTATACCTTGTTGTCCCACGACGAGACAAGGAGCTTCGAGCCCGAGATTGGCGCGAATGCGATCGCTGATACCGCGTCGCCGGGGGGCGGTGAGAGCTCGTATTGCGTTGCTGTTCCTTGGTCAGCTACATATCCCAAAAGCTGAAGCTACATCTCGCAAACAGCATCAAAACGCACCTGGAGCCATTGCCAATGCCCGCTCAGCTATGACGATGTAAGTTGTTTGACGGTAGAAGCTGCTGTTTATTGAAGAGGATCACGTGGAGATAACCCACAATCGCAGATGTGGCGTTGTGCCAGGCCCCGCCACGAAGTTTGGCTCAAGCGCAAAATATCAAAATTGTGACTCCTCATCCCACTTCGAATCGTTTGGAAACGTAGCTTTACCTCATTTTTACGAGTCGCCAACGCACGAATCTCACGGTAGCGAAATTCCACCCAGCCGTCGATTTCGAATCGCACAGCAATTTCAAGACGAATTCGGACACTCGCGTGAGGAGCAACGGAATAGAGACTCGGAAAAAAAACACCCCACTTCCTAATATCCTCTTTCCCCCAATCGACATTCATTTCCCCGGATTGTCATCGAAAAAACACCGCCAAGATGTCTTTAACGAACTGTCGTTTCTACGAGGAGAAGTATCCGGAGATTGATAGCTTTGTCATGGTCAATGTCAAGCAGGTGGGTTTTGCTTCACGAGGTTGGGGAGGTTGGAAATAGGAAATACAGGAGAATCTGACAAGAAAATTCGAATGACGGATAGATCGCCGAGATGGGTGCTTATGTTAAGCTGCTGGAGTACGATAACATCGACGGCATGATTCTTCTCTCTGAACTTTCCCGAAGACGTATTAGAAGTATCCAGAAGCTTATCCGAGTCGGTCGTAACGAGGTCGTGGTGGTGCTTCGTGTCGACAAGGAGAAGGGTGGGTGATGAACCAGATCCAAACGGAAGAGAGTGTTGAAGCTGAGGCTCATTTTGAATCGCAGGATACATTGATCTGTCAAAACGACGTGTTTCTCCCGAAGACATCGTCAAGTGCGAGGAGCGATACAACAAGAGCAAGATGGTCCACTCCATCATGCGACACGTTGCCGAGAAGACCCAGACACCTATCGAGTCTCTGTACGAGAGCATAGCCTGGCCCCTGAACCGCAAATATGGTCACGCCATTGACGCCTTCAAGTTGTCTATCACGTATGTGACCATGGATTTGGCTAGCTGTACGGTATCGGAGAGGCGACTAACTTGGACATAGCAACCCCGAGGTGTGGGAGGAGATCACATTCCCTAACCAGGTCGTCGACGACGAGCTGAAGCTGTACATCAGCAAGCGACTCACCCCTCAGCCCACCAAGGTCCGTGCCGACGTCGAAGTTACCTGCTTCGGCTATGAGGGTATCGATGCTGTCAAGGCTGCGCTGCGAACCGCCGAGGCCAAGAACACAGAGAACATGCAGGTCAAGGTCCGACTTGTTTCGCCGCCTTTGTATGTGCTTACCAGCACATGCACTGACAAGGCGCAAGGTATCACTCGCCTGGAGGAGGCCATTGTCGACATCCGGACCACCATTGAGGCTGCCGGTGGCAACCTTACCGTCAAGATGGAGCCCAAGGCCGTTACGGAGAGCGATGACGCCGAGCTGCAGGCACTGATGGAGAAGAGAGAGCGTGAGAACGCTGAAGTTAGCGGCGACGAAAGTGTCAGCGATAGTGACGACAACATCCCTGAGACTATCTAAGCGTCTCAAAGCACAGCTCTATACCACCAGCGATGAAGCTGCGATTCCAAGCTCGGCTGAAGAGAATGGGAACAAGCGGATACTATCTTTTGAACAAAAAGAAGAAAGCGAAAAAAGCTGTCAGCGCTCGTATGAAAATGAGAGACATGGCCTAGAATTTGGTTTAAGAAGTTTTGGTCGTGGGTAATGGCGTCTTTTGCGTGACGGACGACCTAAAAGCCGTGGAAGGCGGGATATATTGTGAGGGTAGATTTTGGTCGTGACTGCTGGACGTTTGATTTACGCGGGGCATCAAAGCTTTTCATAAGATTAAAAAAATGCTATAAATCAAACAATCATAGACTGTGCCAACTGTATTTACACGTAGACTCGAGCAGTGTTGAAGCTTTGCTGTAGGTCTCTTTAAGCTGTGAGGTCACTGAGAGCTTCCGCTGTGGGATGAGCTAACCAGAAGAGGCACTAACAGGCCAATGACACCACTAAGCAACTTTTTTTGACAGGCGACCACTTCAGTATCGACTCTTCACATTGACTTGATGAATTAATCACTGAGCATTTTATTCTGAGAGGTTGCGGCATTAAAAATAATCATCTTACTTTGAGTCACACATTCTTTCTTGACGACGTCTTCCCCGAGGCCACATTCATGGCTCTCAATTCAATATGGGCACGAATAAGAGGTAGTTCCAGCGGCCCTCCAAGCCTTACTCGGACGACGGTGCTGAACCTCATCGGCTTTGCGACCTGGATTCCGGTGATTGCCTGGTTTAATCTGCATGTGGCGGAGCTGACGGTCATTGACGGGTCGTCGATGTATCCCTTTATGAATGCGGACAGAGATTCGTCGCTACGGAGGGACGTGGTGCTGAATTACAAGTGGTCGCCGCAGGAGGATTTGCAGAGAGGAATGGTTGTGACGTTGAGGTGTGTTGGTGGCTTCACGTTTATTTGGTTTTGTTTCGTGATTGTAAACATGTTCAACTGATCAATGAATAGGAGCCCCTTTCATCCCGAGACAATTGCCGTCAAGAGGGTGGTTGCCCTAGAAGGCGATGTGATCAAGACGAAGCAGCCATATCCCGTTGCAACGGTCAGGATACCACAGGGACATGTGTGGGTAGAAGGAGATGGTCCTCCAGGCTCAAGTCTGGACAGCAACACTTATGGACCGGTTTCAAAGAGATTATTGACGGGCAGAGTGACACACATTGTCTATCCTCCGAGGAAGTTTGGGCCGGTACGGTGGTGGGAGCATGACAGGCCACTGGTGGAGTGATTAATGGAAGAAGATGCCATGTACTACTACTACTGCTGTATGACTAGGAATTTGCTGCACATGCATTAAGAGGCGTCTGGGATAATTGAACTCATTAGAGGACACTATCTTGTATCATACAGAAGCATTAAGAAATTCACCGAGAAATGAAACCGCAATAGACCAGATTTGCTTGCATCTCTGCCGTAACAACGCTCGGCGTGGGCCAAAAGCTCGCCTCCGAACAGAACCCCGTCAACCCGTCAATTCGCCGGGAACGCCACAGCGGATCTGCAAGACATGTGTGGCTGAGCCGAAACCGCCTATCAGCTTGCGCACAGCAAAAAGTTCTCGGGAAGAAGATCGGGAGCCCACGCGACCGACTTGCTCAGCCAGGTACCGAAGGAGAATTTGACGTCTTTTTTTTCATCGCCATATCTTATCTCCTGATTCTAATAGGCATTCGAACAGGGGGGAGATAATTTCCAAGTTTCGGTCTTGCTTTCTTTCGTGTGCGCTGGTTGTTCTTTTTCTTCGGCGGACCCTTTCTTTCCCTTTTTCCCTTCCTTCTTCTCCTTTCGCATCGATAAGCCTTCAGTCTCAATTGGGCGGCGCTTTTTGCAAATGTCCGAAGGCCTTTCCACCTCCTCCCAATTCCCTCTGGCAGGCTTCCCCAACTCTGCGACTACAAAGCCCGAGAGCACCGCAACGAGCGATTCAACGACGACGACGACGACCACTGCGGCAGCTGGCCGTGACGCAACTGCGCTGGACTCTTCTCGATATGCCGGCCACCACCCGATAGCCTCGTCCGAAAGCCACACTGCAGGGGGGCTTGCGAAGCCTGCGCATACCATGCACAGCGAAGATGTCGAGGTTGAGGGCCGGCCGCCGTATATCCATGTTGGTTTTCTCCTCTGTTTTGTTGTTGATTATGGCGGGGTGCTGTCTATGACGTTACGCATGCGATGAGGGGCCATTTGGAGATCTCTTTTGCGCTGACTGTTGGGTTTCTTGTTAGGCTATGATTGCGGGAGGTATTGGAGGTTCAACCGGTGACATGCTGATGCATTCACTGGATACCGTCAAGACGCGACAGCAGGGAGATCCGCATATTCCCCCGAAATACACATCCTTGGGGCGATCATACCACACCATATGGCGACAGGAGGGCATCGCGAGAGGCTTATACGGAGGCTGGATCCCAGCGCTAGGCGGGTCATTCCCAGGCACAGTGATGTTCTTCGGGACGTACGAATGGAGCAAGCGATTCTTGATAGACCACGGGCTTCAGCACCATCTCGCCTATCTCTCAGCAGGTAAGCTGCATGCCGAACAGACCGACGGCGATTGCTTTCCAAAGGCTGCCAAGCTAACTTTTTTTGATTTCAGGCTTCCTGGGCGACCTCGCAGCTTCCATTGTCTACGTGCCATCCGAAGTTCTCAAAACCCGACTGCAGCTTCAAGGACGCTACAACAACCCCCATTTCGTCTCCGGATACAACTACCGCGGCACCCTCGACGCCGCGCGCACAATCGTCCGATCAGAAGGTGCCTCTGCGCTTTTCCACGGCTACAAAGCAACCCTATATCGAGACCTGCCCTTTTCTGCGCTGCAATTCATGTTCTGGGAGCAATTCCAGGCATGGTCCAGGGTATACAAGCAGAGCCGCGACATCGGCGCGCCCCTGGAGCTCTTGACCGGCGCCGCCGCGGGTGGTCTCGCGGGCGTCATCACATGTCCTCTGGACGTCGTCAAGACCCGCCTACAAACACAGGTCAACATTCCATCCGAGCCCGAATCCTCACACCACGAATCCTCACATCGACCGAAAGACCCCAATCCTCAGAAACGCTTAATATCGACTTCGTCACCGAGCACGCATAGACCGAGACCGGGCGCCATTGCGCTGAATACATCATCAGTCTTCGCCGGGCTGAGGGTCATCTACCACACCGAAGGTCTAGGCGGTTGGTTCCGTGGCGTTGGGCCCCGAGGCGTTTGGACCTTTATCCAGAGCGGCTGCATGCTCTTCTTGTATCAGCGACTGCTTCACAAGCTAGAGGTTTGGATGCCACTAGAGAATTCTGAAGTTGAAACTGCATTGTAACGGAAAGAAGAAGAGAAAAAGAAACAACGAAACGGAATTCCGTTGCTTCTTTATACATATTTTGTCTTTTTTATTTTCCTTTTTTTGGTTGTACATGAATAGTGGGCGGGCACGAGCATTATGACGAGAAGACACAAAACGAGCATAGGAGCGATTGAAGAAGAGGCAAGTGAAGAAGGGGTATTTGAGCACTAGAACGAACAGAAGATGAGAAAGGAAGAGAAAGACAAGACTCAAGCATAAAAAAAAAAGAAAAAAAAAAAAAGAAGAGAGATGGTGTTTACGGGGGAGGGCGCAGAATTATAGCCCGGTCATTTACGTGAAGGCGTTTTTGGAAGAAGAAAATAGATCTGGGATGATAAAGACGGGGGTTCTTTTGATATATGATATAGATAGAGGGCATGGGAAAGGGACATGTGTGCCAAAATCTCCAACATGGTGTTTTATTACTGTACATTATTCTTTTTTGCGGGCATTGCGCTGTGCCATTGCCGATATTGTGGTTTAATACAGAGCATTCAGAGATTACTTATATGCAGTCGAATACAATTTTGTGCAAACAGGCCAAGAATACCTAGAAGGTGAGTCCAACTATCGGTATGTGGTAGACATAAGAGGGGGCAATATCGAACCCATGGTGCGTCAACCAGACGAAGAAATCGATGACCAGATGGATACTAACAGCACTCGCGTCAAACAATAAACAAATCCCACACAAACAAATAGGACCCATTGGCAACCTTCTCTTATTGTTTCACTCCATATAGCCAATATCAGGCATCCACATCACTCTCCTCGACTACTCTCTGCTCCTCAAAATCATCCATCCTGGTCATCATATCGTCTCTCGCGAGGCATGCCACAATCGCCACAGTCAGGGCGTTCCACACGCTCTGGCTCTGGTCGTGAAAGTTCATGTCGAGATGAAGGCTGAGATTCATAGAGGATTCATCTTTGGATGAGTCGACGGTGAATAAGCAGACCGTCGTGGAGATGATGAAGAATCCGTAAATAACAGGAGGGGGTCGTCGAAATGGTAGCGGCGAGGATAATAGCGGCGACTGAGATGGAGTTGTCTGGGCAAGAGGAATGTCCTTCATTGAGACATCGTCCTCGAAGGATTCAGGCTTGATGTCGAGCTTCTCGTCTTCTTCCATCTTGACGCTCACTCGATCTGCTGCTGTTTGCTTGCGCTCGCCGACATCCGTCTGCTCTTCGTCCTCATCGTCAATCACTTTTGTTTCTCCGTGGGATTCTGGCTTTATGATGGGGCGGAATCTTATCAATCCCAGCAGCTTACTCATGATGCGTGAACCCAATTTCCCCCACGACCGGCCTCTTTGCTTGAGCAGTTGTCGTTGCTGCGCATCCGAAGCCTCGGCTTCAGACTTTATCTGCATTTCGACTTGCCTGTCTACATCCATGCTTTCAGTAACATTTTGATCAATGACGAGATTTTTACGATGCAATCTTGCCAATGCGTTCATTCGCGCCTCTATGATGCTCGTGAGATCAGCTTGCTCGACGTCCTTGTCAAGGATCTCGACAAGGACGTTGAGGGTGTATTGCAGATGGTTGTATCCTCCGTCTTCGGCAGCCCATCTTATGAACTTATCCAAGGCCTTCTTGATCATCAGCGGTGTCTTTCTTCGTAGCCCAGACTGACAGGCTGTCCGAACACAGGCAGTCAGGTCGATTAATCTCGTCAACGCCGTAGTGGCTGCATGTCAAGTCAGCTTGAAACTGCAGAATCTTGTATGAAAAGAAGTGAATGAGGGGGAAAGGGGGGGCCATTGGGAGATATTTTACGTAGTCTCTGACCTAGAAAAGTGCTCGTGTGCGCATAGATGATGGGGTTCTCCCCTTTCTTGCAGCAAAAGCAGTCTCCTGAGATGGGTATGCCTCGAAAATCAACTTCCCAGTGTAGCGGCAATAGCGGTATATCCTGTCTCAGGAACAAGATTTCGAAAAGCTGCTCCTCGCCTTTTGCCCACTCCAGCCTCCCAAGATAGTTCCTCTTTGCCATTTGCATATCTGCCAGTGTCCTGTTGCTGACGAGCGTGCCTTGGCCATCCTCGTCTCCCCGTATCTTTATCGGAGTATAGGCCGTTTTCTTGGGCGAAGCAGAATCTTTGCTAGGAGAACTTCGTGGTGTGGTATTGCGACTCCTTGATGGCGTCCCGCGATGTCTCTTTGCACTTTTGCGCCGAGGAGTTCGACGTCCAGGAGACGGCCGAGAGGTAGCCTCGCTACTTGTTGTCGTGGTTTCCATGGATAGACGCATAATCAACTCGTGAGGTTCATGGAGATGGTGGGTGTCGCACATTGCATTTGGGAACAAGTGGAAGCTGGTAGGTGAGTCTCGCCCCCTAGTTGTGGGACGACGAGCTGGGTTGCAAATTCCACGTTTGACTTGGCTGTAGCAGACTGAGTGACGTTTATCTAAGTAGAGGTATTTTCGGCAGCAGGTTAATGCTTTTATAGGCACCTCGAGTACTGAAGCAGGCCGTTTGCTAGTGCCAGGCAGCTGTCCAGGCATTGAGGGGAGGTGCAGCAAGAATGACTGCAAGTACGGGATGCCAGCTGTAGGGAGCCGATACTTGCAGCAAAGCCCTCTGTATCTGACTTTGGTGTTCAGCAATGAGTGAATGGGCGCCAAAGTTCAAGTCATTGCAACATGAAAGCATTCTCAATGAGCCTCCCAGGTTATCATCAAACGCAACAATTCTGGTCATGTTCAGAGCAGTGCACAAAGCTATATATGGTCCCAAACGCCAGCTAAGCCAAGTTCAATTGTTTCCTCCTCATTTATTATCCATATGCTCAACTGAGCCGCATTTACTAGATGGCGGATAGGAAACAGGCAAAAACAAGCGCCGACCATTATGGTCTGTCGAATGGCTGTGGTATAACAGAATGACATGGTCTGGTTACATCTCATACATTCTCTATGGACAGTCACTCTGTCCAATCTACAGTCTCCAAACTCAATCCTTCTTCTGCATAAAAGGCTGACATGCCTCGTAAATCTCCAAATACCCAGGCAGCTTCAAAATCCTCTGGAACACGCCTTCATCAATCACCTTGGCGGTCTGGATAGATCCTGCAACGAAAAAGTCCATCAAGCTCGGCCGGGCACCGAGAATAAACGGCCCATTAGCCTTATTTGTGCGCATCAAAGCGCCAATAGTCTTTGAATTGCCTTCCAACGCCTCCCATGCCTCATCTTCGCCCTCGAGCAGCTCTACCAGTGGACAGCCAACCCGAGCCTCACGAGCGCGTCGAAAGTACGCTTCTGCGCGAGGAGAAAAGATGAGAGCCTCGCGCGGCATTATTGATTTTTGGACAGTTGGGCCAACTTCTGCGCGTAATTTGAGCATGATCTGGGTGCCTAGCTCTGAGTCGAGCTGCACAGGCGGATCAGGATAGGTCGACTCAATGAACTTGGCGACGGCAGGTGAATCCATGACATATTTGTTTGTCGGTACATGGTAGATGGCGGGGACCGTGTAGTCCTTTGTATTTCCTGTAGCAGGATCGTGAGGGGGCAAACCTCTGTTGTTCTTCATGTTAGTGAATTTCCATCACTGCAGCCACGACTTGAAGCTACATATTTGGAGAGACAGAGGCTTCGGTGAGAGAGACAAGTAACATGAAATACGTTTGAAACAGATACTTGAACGGGAGTTTTAAAGGAAAGAGATATACTCACAGCTCTTTCAGTGTAGGCTCGATGTCTGGCATCTCGAGGAAGACGGTCTTGTACGGAATTTGCTTGTAGTTGAGCATCATGCGGATGCGCCATACGACAGGCGAGAAGCAGACATTCTTGGTGCAAGCCAAGTCGTACAACACAATGTCATGCTCGACGTCTTGTGCTGCCATGTTGCGCGCTGAGCTCGATTGAATGAGCAAGTGAATGCGTGGATGGGAGAACTCGGTATCCAGGTACAATAACAGGTAAGTAAATGCAGATATTTAGCTTCTCATCGGCCGACTCGACTGTAATTGCGAGCGGCCTATGGCATCGAAATCACAAGATGAATGTGTGTAAAAAGCTGCGCCCTTTGAACTATATATTCTGATCCAAGATGCTACACTTTGTCCGTTGAATACGTGTTACCTATACTATTCGTTACTGAAGACTGGCATGAACGTTTACCATTGGCGAGGTTGAGGAAATATTAAGCTACTGGCCGCAGGGCTTGATTGGTTAATTGAATCGGCTGCTACATGGTGTCCGCCGTAAAAAGACTCGCACGATGAAGACGACGTTTATACGGGTGCAGTTTAATACAGTACAAATGTACAGTGTCGGAATGACATCTACTGTAGTTTAGCCACAGCCCATCAGCCAATCATGACCCCACATAGACAAAACTTTGGATATCGAAATCCTAGCTGGTTGATGATATAACACAGACAAGCAGAAACCATTCTCATTGCTGCAGCCATGGCCGAAGCAGTCAAGGCGGCTGCGCGCCAATTGCCCGCGTTCAAGCTGGGCCAGAAGCAAGTTTACCTGTACGCCGAAATCCAATTCCACGTCTGAACTCCCCTCGCGCAAAGCCTCATGTTCACCCTTGCCCACAGACCCAATCATGTCATCACGATGCTCCGAAAAGAGCACCTCCCGCCCAACGAGGCCTGCTTCAAAGTCCCTCTGCGATTCACAAAATTCGATCTGCGAGACTATCTATGGAACCTGTACAACGTCGAGGTCACCAAAGTGCGAGCCTACGTCAAGCAGCAGCCCCTCACTCAGCGCAGCACCAGCTCTCGCTCCTGGTACCGACCGCAGCCCCAGAAGGTCATGACCGTCGAGCTGGCGAAGCCTTTCCAGTGGCCGGACGTCCCTACGGATCTGGAGCCCTGGAGCAATGACCTGTGGAAGATGCGCGAGGACACGATTGAGAAGAGGAACGAGGAGCAGCTCGTGCGACAGAAGATGCAGATTCCACTCAAGAGCAAGGAACCTGTATCAAAAGACCGAGAAGAATTGGGCAAGCTGGCTAAGCAGATGTTGTCTGGAGAAGTCAAGTGGTCAAACGATGTGGCGCTGGATCCTCGGTGGGATCAGATTCTGGAGAAAGAGAAGGCTAGGAAACCAGCCGAGACAACAGCATCATGAAGGAAAGGAGAAGAAAAAAAGACAAAATGGAAAACTTGATGAGGGAGCACGCACACTGATTTTTCTCCCCGCAATCTATTGGGATATACAGGAAAAAGGGAGACTACGGCAATTGGCCAGTGTATGACTTAGACGCATATCATGTGCATATATGTATTATGTATATTACTTTTGAACTTGTAAAAAAAGAAAATTTCCTCGCCTATGCTTTACATTTAACCATTGGTTTCATACAATCGTCGTTGAAATCTCAACATCGACCCAATGCTCTGGTGCCTGAAACTGCAGGACTTGGTCTCCCCAGCTCCACCAGCCAGAGGTGAGGTTGCGGGCAAATACCTCCAAAGCTGTGTAATCTTGACCAAGGTATTCTTCAAACAGTCGCCGAAGATTTGGCTTCCGTGAATGTACGTCTGGAACTGCCAGGATGACTCGAGGCTTGAGAGTCTCCGGTGCCTTGGCGCTGATGCGTTTTGCAATCAGCAGCGTCTCCCATGGTTTTCGCCACGTAGACTCTATATCAAACAGAGGCTCGCCTAATGAGGTGATTTTGAGCCACGTCCACTGCGTTACCAGTTCGAGGCCCCAGGATGCAAAGAGTCCTTTGGATGAGGTTACTAGGTCAAGAACGCTGGATTTGTTAGTGATCCACATGGCCACCAAGCCATCAGAAGCAAGATGAGAGGCCACGGGTATGCTAGAGAGGAGTTTTTGTATTTCTGAGAGGTTCGAGGCAGTGTTGTAACTGCCCGCCTTCTTCCTCCGGGCTGATCGATTTGGCCACGGGGGATCGAAGACCATGAGACGGAATTGCGGCGCTCGATCAATGAATGTCTGCCGCAGATGACGGATAGATCCGTGCAAGTACTCAGCCCTAGGGGGGGTCCTGATAGCATCCATTGCAGAAGTTGCAGTGCTGGTAGCAGTATCAGCAGAAGTGGTGCCACCAGTGTCAATCTTTCTGTCATTGAAATCCTGGGGAATCAGCCCATCCGGGGCATTGCAAAGCCGGGGGAGGCAAAACAGTCCCGCATATCGGCTATGAAGCTGGTCCAGAGCGCTCTGCACGGCTGCTGCGGCCATCAAGTCTGCAATATGAGCTCCCGCAGACTGCGAGCTGCGCAGCCAATGATCAGCTGTTGCCCCATCTCGCGGCTCCGGGGTGGTGAATGGCTTGAGTGGCGGGGCCCCAGAAACGATTCGAGCCGATGGCGGGAGGCCGGGGGGCACTTGGGCCTCTTCTAGGGATCTGGGGATGTCGAGCAGGACGACATTGCCGGCGTGGAAGAGGATTGACGATGTGGTTGGAGGAGGCGGCGCTGCAGTTGAAGACGGTGGTGATGCTTCGTCACATGCGCTGACAGAGGCCATTGCCAGCGAGCTGTGACGCAGGGATTATGCAGGCATCGCGTTACAATCACGAGAAAATCTGAATTTGGCACAGAGCAAACTACAGGCTCTTAGTCGGCTACTAGGCCACCTGCACGCTGTAGGTTCCTACAGGTACCTGTACTGTGTATTGGGCCAATAAAGATTGAGACGACTTCAAAAGACAGTAGCTAGATGGTCAATGCAGCTACGGCAACAGCGGGACAATGGCCAAGGAATGCGGAGAGCGCCACGAAAAGTGTTTGCTTCAAGGCACAAGCTGCGATAGGGTGAATCTATATCCAAAATACAAACAAATGGCTGTCAACGGCATGCGCCGGTAGGAACAGGACTGGAACCGCCCTGGTACCTCGAAATAGGCGTTTCACCCCAAACGGCTCAATCTTCGGCAATCCTCGGCCCCGGAGACCCTACGGCTCTAAAAAAGCTCCCCTCAGTGGCGGTTGGTGACCGGCAAACGACTTCGGCACAGGCCAGAGCACACGGGCAGGTGACCAAAATCCAGGCTCGACATGCGGTCCGCTCATGTACCGCCCAAGTACCTCGTCGCACAAAGCAAATGACGTCTCGGAGCGCTCGCAGGGAGCCGAGTTTATCGATTTCTTTTTCTCGTCCTGATCCTGGGAATTATCAAGCCTTCAGCCCCCCTAAGCATTTGTCTTCGCTTACCGTTTGATCGTTCCTTTTTTTTTTTCCTTCGTCTCTTACTCTTTGTCTTGCCTTCTCCCTTTTCCTTGATTCGCATTTCCGTCAGCTCTGCGGGCATGTCTCTTTTATAGAATCCATCAGACTCAGGTACTTGTGCGACTGCGACTGATTGCGCTGCAATGCCGTCCGCCTATGCGGATCATGGCTCCATGGCCGACATAGCACGCGACAAAGCTCTGCAGCATGGCGCGGCCGTGGGCGCGACGGCGTCTGCGGCTCCCAGGAGAAAAGAAGCTGCTTCTCCGAAAGGCGACGAACTCTCGGCACATCGCGCAAAGACTCGTTCGTGGGATTATATCTGGAGGTCCGGTGTCGCCGGTGGCCTCGCGGGATGCGCCGTAAGTTGTTGGTCCCAAACATCCAATATTACATGCGAAATTCGCACAAAATTATAGTCAGCCGATATCGATGGAATATTGCGTTGCTAACTCCCTCCATGACAGGCAAAAACGACAGTGGCGCCCCTTGATCGTGTCAAGATCCTCTTCCAAACCAGCAACCCCCAGTTCGCAAAATATACGGGCTCCTCTTTTGGAGTCGCTACCGCAATGAAAGACATATATCTCCAAGAGGGCGGCCGGGGGCTTTTCAGAGGCCATTCAGCGACCCTACTTAGAATTTTCCCCTACGCCGGCATCAAATTCCTTGCTTACGAGCAGATTCGCAACATCTTTATCCCCGACAAACACCACGAGACGCCATTCCGACGGCTGATCAGCGGCAGCCTCGCGGGCGTAACATCTGTTTTCTTCACATATCCTCTCGAGGTTGTTCGAGTTCGCCTCGCCTTTGAGACTAGACGGGATGGCCGCTCATCATTGACATCAATATGTCGCCAAATCTACAACGAACACCCTATTGAGAAAGCTCGAACCGCAAAACTACCAAACTCGCCTTCAATTGCGACAGCTGTAGACTCTGCCGCCGCTGCCGTCGAATCTGTCGCGCCGCGAGTCGGTTTAGTCAACTTTTACCGCGGTTTCGCCCCCACCATGCTGGGCATGCTGCCATATGCTGGCGTGTCTTTCCTCACTCATGACACCATGACAGACCTACTACGCCATCATTCCATCGCCGAGCATACAACTCTGCCGAAGAAGGCGAACCACCCTGAAGGGAAGCCTGCCGCGCTTCGATCTTGGGCCGAACTTACTGCCGGAGGCGTGGCCGGAATGATCTCACAGACAAGCTCATATCCCCTCGAAGTAGTCCGGCGGCGCATGCAAGTTGGCGGTGCTGTTGGTGATGGTCGAAGACTGCGAGTTGGAGAGACAGCAGCCATGATCCTGAAAGAGCGAGGAATCCGGGGCTTCTTCGTCGGCCTCACAATCGGATACGTCAAGGTCGTGCCTCTGGCAGCGGTGAGCTTTTACACTTATGAACGCATGAAGCTTATTCTTGGTATATAAAAGAAAGAAGAAAATGAATGCACGGCTGCATTGGCGTTGGATGGGTTTCTGCAAGGCACATGTAAAGGCCATTTGTTTTACTGGGTAGGGCTTTTTTCTTGTTTGGTTTTCATAAGTTGCGTTTGAGCCTCTACACAGAGCTTGAAGGGGCGGAGTTAAGACTGGACATCCCGCTTAGCATTCGGGGCATATGTCTTTGGTTATACCTTTTGTAAATAAATACAGAGCGCTATGACAAATGAACTAGAGCTACATTATCAATGTGTTGTGGCTTCACTGCTGAATCCATTCACTGTATTGCCACCAAGTATCCATGTAATAAATACATGCTGTCACTCTCAAGCTTCAATCATATCACTATTTTAGCATCATTTGAATCATTGCCGTTTGAAATACATTATTTTTAGCATAGTTATTGTTGGCATCGTCAATACTGTCCTTGTTCTAGCCGGCATCACTCGTGGATGAGTTGGGAATCATGCTGTATCCTAATTGGCCGACACGCCGCTGCATCTTTTTAGCCTGCGGCTAGCTTCTCAGCCTTGCTGCACCAAACACTCAACCTCTCTCCGTCAACCTCATCCTCAGCCTCTCTTCATCATCAACCCCAGCCTTCCATCACAAACAGACTTTATTCTCCATGCGCTGCGGCATACCAATCGGCTCCTCATAAACCATCATTGATCATCTCCTCCGCCCGTCGCCCATTTCCTCCCAATCGGAGAGCACCCGTCTCTCTCAACAGCTCCAATCCTTTTTCCCGTCTTTTTTGCGCGCCCCTCGCGTTCATCATGGCACCCACAGACTATGATCCGCTCCTCGTCCTCCGCCAATCCATCTCCAGCGGCCAGCCCTTCATCCCGAGCGCGTCCGACGACCCTTCCGCCGCCGAAGTCTCTCTCTCGCAGGCCACGCACCTGCAGTTCACAGGCCTCTCGCTCGCGCTGCCGATAGACTCGCCCACGCGCTTCGTCTCTAGCGATAAGCCGGTCGACCTGCGTAGTATCTACTTCGCCTGGCTGAACCGCGAGCTTGCCATCCCGGAATACAATGCCTCGGCTACGACGCTCAATGACGAGCTCGGCGCGAGTGGATCGAGCGGCAAGGTTCAGAACCTGGGTTTCATTGAAAGACTCGATTTGATCACTTGGCTCGAAGGTGCTAGCGAGGAAAGCGAGTATATCAAGCCTATAGCGGGAGATGCCGGTGCAGCGGCTGCTGGAACGACCCTGTCCTCAAAGACCGGCGCTGCGGCCTTGGCTGCCTCGGCGAGATCAGGCAAGGGGACAATCGACCCGAGGCTGGCAAGCGTATATGACGGTGAGCGCAGAATGGGCGACCGCAATTCGATTCTGAGGGGCATCAAACCCACGGTAAGTGATATGACTGCGCATCGCGTGTGGATGCCATTCTACAGCTGGCTAACTAGGCAATAGGATTTCTCCCACGTGCGGAAACTCGCCATCCCCTTCCTCCAAAAGAAGTCTCAGTCTTCGGCCATCAGCTCGGCCCAGTCTCTCTCCATCAACCAAAAAGGCCCTACCCGTCGCCCCGACCCCATCATCTTGCTCTCTCCATCCGCCTCTTCTCTCCTGCGCATGTCCAATGCCCGCTCATTCCTCGAGGATGGCAAGTTTGTGCCTCCCGATGCGGGGGCGTCCACCGCCTCCATGCTGCACGTCCAGCGCATCATCCCCGGCATCGACCCAAATCGACCTATGCGTTTTATCCTCGTCGAAGGGTCGGAGCAGTTTAAGCCTGAGTACTGGAACCGCATTGTTGCCGTCTTTACGACAGGCCAGACGTGGCAGTTTAAAAATTACAAGTGGAGCAATCCGAATGACCTATTCAAGCATACCATGGGCGTGTATGTCGGATGGAGAGGCGAGCTGGCGCCGGATAATATCCGCGGCTGGGGCCACCGCGTCACGACTACAAGCGTTGACCGCTGGAGAGGCGAGGACGACGTCGCTTCGCGATTCAGAGACAAGGAGGTCGTGGAGTACATCTGGAAGTCTATCGAGTCGAACATGCGGAATAAAGGCTGGAGGAGGGATGCCGCTCCTTCGTCGATATAAGCCCCATTTGCTACTTTCATGCAAAGTTGAAAAGGGAGTAGGAAATCACAGGTGAACGCGTGTGAATGAGCTCTACTTGGGCAAGAGAGCCACGGTGGAAAGATGCTCGAACAGAGCGATACATGTCATTTCATGGAATGGAGGGAGGGAGAGAATGTACGACTAACCCACAAAGTATACATATTTTTTTCTAACCTGTTGAAAGGGAATTGGAGACTAGGAGCGATGGCGTTTGGCCTTTTTATCTTTTTTTGTTTTCTTGACAGGCCCAGCTTTGGGCCTAGGAATGGGCAGATGAGAATGAGGGGGTGGGTTTGAAGAAGCGGATAGAAGAAAAGTATTAATGAAATGGAATATCAAAAAATGTTCCGATGACGTTGCTCGCTCTATTCATTGCTAATTGTATCAGCCAGCTTCGCAGGTAAAGCAGGCCAATTCTCACGCGTCGAAAGCTTTTACGCACAGGCATGTGAATATCTCGTCATCACCTCCAAAGCATAGACTCGTATTAATTAATGTCATCCTTCTTCGGAGACTTTCTTATGGTCTCGTCCCTTGGGAAGCTCAAAATGGTTAGAATGGGAGATCTACGCTGACATGATAACGGACCCTGTTCACGATGCTTATCTCACGTTTTTGTCATGGCATCTCTCATTGCTAGGATGTCGGAGTAGGCCGATTCGTCACAAATCATGCAATGGCGATGTATCCTTGGTTTGCGTTTTGATTGTGCGGAGTTTCGGGAGAGACGGGTATTGTTTCTTCCCCCTCCCATGTTATCTTCTTT